AGGCGCATGGAACGCTGTTACCTTCCCACCGAAGTGGTACCTATTTATCTACTTGCAATTTCTTGCTTTCGAACTGCTAGGTTGGCAGGAGCTGGAACTAGAGACGGGAGCTCACTCTGTCATGCGGCACCCGGGTCTCAAACTGCTGAACTACCGACCTTCCACAGCCTGCAGTTCAGTGTCTTAACCACTTGAGCCACCGTAGCTCCATTCAAATATAGGGATAGGGGTGGGCAATTCCAACTGGCAAGATGAGCAGCCAGTCTTTGTAGCTGCTGTTCCTCAGCCCTTATGGATCTAGAAGCTCAGTTTCCCAGCATGCCTTCAACATCTTCCTTTTAAAGAAGGGTGGGCAATGACAGCTCTCAAGGAACAAAGGAAAGAAGCTAGACTTCTACTGATTCCGAAATTATACAACTGAACTATTGGTACAGCATACTGACTCTTAACAAAATGCACTCTATGAAACCCTGTGTGTTTTACTCACCAACCATTTTCCCGCAGGTAAACTATTTTTCTACATACTTGTAATGTAAAAACTGTTTCTACTTAACACAACTTGGAAGAAATGGGGGGGCCTACCACGAGACAAATTAGAAATTCCAGAAATCATCTCAAAAGTGACAACAATGTCCCACCTTTCCCATTACAACCTCCCACACTCCCTTCGGTCACCCTCTAGGGGTCTCCTGAAGGTGCCCGACCCCAGGATGGCTCAGTTAGCTGTTACCAGGGAATGGCCTTTTCAGTTGTGGCCCCTATCCTGTAGAATGCACTTTCTGAGGACACCCATGCCCTGCCAGACTTGTTTAGCTTCCGCAGGGCATGCAAGGCCAAATGCTTAGATTGGCCTTTGGAGTGTAATCTACATGCCTGGCTTGTTTTTGTCAGTGCTGTGGTGCCTGTCACATATTTTAATAGTTTAACATCTTACCATTAATATTTTATGTTACCAGTTTTTATGTTGATTTACTGTATTTATATTGTTTTGATATTGTAAGTCACTGCAAGATCCTTTGGGTAAGCAGCAACTAAAAAAATCTAATGAATAAAGAAGTAAAGATAAATAGTAAAAAAAATTAAAATCCTGAAGAGCCATTTTGCTAGCCTTTTATAGTCTGGTTAAAACTGGGAGGGGGGTGGGTACTTTTCACTAAGGCTGCAGTTTTATGCCACACCATTAAGAATAAGTTCCACCAAAGTCAGACTGACTTCTGAGTAAATCTCCTAGGATTATGCTCAGGCCTCGGATCGAGCAGGAGCGCACCGGTACGTCGCTCCGGGAGA